ATATAGAAGAAAAAATTAGAGAGTTGCCACCTGTGTTTAAAATTTCAATTTAGGTCAATTGATACGGTAAAGTGAATACTGCAATATGGCTGTCAAAAGAAAGAAATTTACAAAGGCTTACAGCTGAAAATATTTTTGTGGAAGGTTGCCACCTATTTGAAAACTTTAATTTAATTTAATTGATAGCATAAATTAAATATTGCAATATTGGCATCAAACTAAAGAGGCTAGGAAAGTTTAATGCTGAAAATATTTTTGGGGGATTTGCCAACTGATTGAAAAATTGTATTCATGAAAATTTTTAAAATAAATGAAATATTGCAATACGAATATTAAACTAAAGAGGATTAGGAAGCTTACTTTTGAAAATATTCTTGAAGCGGGTTGCCACTTATTTGAAAACTTTAATTCAGTTAAATTTATAATATAAACTAAGTGTTGCCATATGGGTATCAAACGAGAGTATTTGAGAATAATAAAATTGCAACAGGCCGATATCTGTACATAATAGATGTTAAAGAAAAATTAATAGGGGGTTTATTAGATCAACAGAAGCCAAATATAAACTTTTGGTATGTTTGTCTGTATGTTCGTAAGCGCATCACGCAAAAGCTAATGTATGGAGTTAAATGCAGTTTTCACCGACGTACATATTGCTAGAGCTCTAATTGAAAATATAGAATCCATTTTTTTTTTTGTTTTAGTTTATCGTCGATCATTATTCCTAGGTATTTGAACGTATTAACTTTTTCCAGTGCGTCGTTGTTTGTATTTAGAGTTAGCAACGGACCGTTCTCAAAATTTCGCCTTGATATAACCACAAACTTAATTTTTTTTATTTCTGTGTGGAAGGTTTTTCGCTCAAAAAATTTAAACTTTTCGTTGTTGCTGCCAAAAAATTAAGAAACCTGAGACGTCACGTTTTACAATTTCATACAGTTCTCTTTACGATGTATTTCACTAAACTACTAAACGGCTACATCCACTTGGTTCATATTTGGCAACACCTTGAAAATAAACATTCTGACCAAAAATTTACTCGGTATGTAGCTCGGGTTATTCCTAAAATTCTTATACAGACTAAAACGTAAAAAACCAATATATCTCTAAAACCAATTACGCTGGGGAACTGAAACTTAGCACTGATGCATATATTACAAATGCATTGGGAAAGGGGCGTGGCTCCTTCCTTCCATACAAACTGAACTTCTCATATAGCTTATCTCTGGAACTGCTAACGGTAACGTCTTGAAATTCTACACAGCTACATATGTTATCAATACCGTAGTTATGGCGAAAAGGGGTAATTATTGGAAAGGCTGGCTCGATATATATTTACGTAAACGCGCAAGTATCATTCGATTGGGAATTATTTTCTCCTAGATTTCTAAATCCCATTGAACTATTGTAACTTTGTCTTTAATTTTCAGTAAGGTAAAATTTATGTGAAAATTTTGAAGAATTTTTCACAAAGAATGGAGCTTTGCTGTTACGGGTTTCGCTATAATCTACATACCTATTTGCATAAAATGATAGCCGATTTCGTTGTTCGGAATAAACTCAAAAAACACTGAATAGAGTTCCGTCGGATTGTCGGAGGTTATCTTACATACATATATGGTCTAATTACATGCTACTAGAAAACTCGCTAGGTGGTGCTGGAGTAGAGTTATTTATAAAAATTTTATTTATTAACCGATTTCGTTCAAATTTTAAATGTGAGCTATGTACCTGTATTATGGAAAATTCTTTTGATTAAAATTTACCTGGTTAGTGCCGCTGGAGTTAAGGTTGAAATTCATAACACGTATTCATTTTATGGTAAGCAATGGTTTTGCAGAAAATGAACCCAATGGATGGGGCTGCAGACGAAATGTATAGAAACCCCGTGGGGTTGGTCTGCTTTGGCACTATGTTTAAGTTATACGAATTTAGTTTTTAGATGTCTAAATGAAGGATCGGGTTAAGTCTTACTGTCGCCCTCATGCACGATCATGCGGTCTTGCATCTACCCAGAAATCAGTTCATAAATTTTACCACAAATTGTAAAAGTGGTGAATTAACAAGGAAGGACCACCGTAGGTATATCAATTGCTTCATTTGAAAGATACTTAAGAGATCACACGACTCATTTAGCAATGTACCGGAAAACTTTTCATCCTGTGGGACAGCACTTCTGTGCTCTTGAGTTTCCCTATAAGAACTTTTATTGGCATACGCATGGCACCAATGTTGTAGTTGCAAGATCATACAAAAAGATTACGCATACCTGGCAGAGTTCCCACAGGTGGAAATAAGACCATCGGTGAAGCTCATGATACCGAAAGGGATTGGTATTCCATATGGTATCACAGCGTTACTATTATTGGCCTATGTGTGAGGAGGATACAGCGCCTTATACCATGTCCCCGCCGGAGCTAACCACGTAGTTATGGCTACTGAGTTGGTTATCCCGATAACCCACTTGATTTAGCGTAGTTTCGCCATATAAAAATGACAGCACTTAACCATTTCACTGAGATGGTTAAAAGCTAACCAACTCGAAACCACGTCGAAAGTCTGATACAACCCTGTGTTTTCCCGCCATCTGTGGGTCATTAGCGTTAAAATGTAAAGAATTCGTTCCCTACTAGTGTTTGGACTCAACTACGATCAGATTAGATTTAATCCGGTTTTTGAAAAAATTTGAAATCTACTCCTCTACTCCGCTTGACTTCCAATCTATTCCGTTTTTTTCATTCATGTTATGCCCCTTTTGGGGCCGTTTTTTGAGTGTTCACCACCGATTTCAGTAAAAAAATTGAAAGTTAGCCAAATCTCACTGTTAAAAAGTAACTCTTTCATAGCAATGCGTCAATAAAGTAACTTCGTTATTTTTTGATGTATTGCTGTACAAATTGGCGGATGCAGAACTTTACTTAACTTGTTAAAAAGTATATGTGGAATGAAATTTATATAAAGTAGAAAAGGTTTGCTTTTTAAAAAATTAAGTGTTAGATACTATACTATACTATATAGAAAATGCTAAATATTACCTAAATATGTAACATATTATCCTTACATTGCCCCGCGTTCTTATTTTGCATGAATAGAAAATATTTTAGTCAAACAATTAATGTCAGAAACAAAAATAAAAAATTCAATCTAGTACGGATTATTTGTTTTTGCTCTGATTTTTGCAGTAACTTAGTCCTGAATCGATTTTTGGATGTCCGAACACTGTTCTTTACATTTGTACTGTTTTATAAACCTCAAACCGCAGTGTGGACAGCAATAGTTAGTGATGTGGTTAAGTTCGATTTGAGATGGTTAACTTTTTGGTGGGGACATGGTATTAGTGGTTTCAACTTAAATCAAAAATTTTGACTTTACAGACTAATTTTATTTTTAAACGCTCTTTTGCATTGGCCAACGCTCTTATTAGGCGCCGCGAAGTAAGCGGGCATTGGCTAGTAATAGATAATAATTTGCAATTTTTTACACTTTTGTAATTAATTTCGGTCACTATTCCACAATCATGACTTGGGCCACTCTGCCATAGTACGGTTGTTGCTCCCTTTCATACCACAGTCATTTTGTATGAAACTCTGAATCAACAAAATTCATGATCCTTCTCATTAGCAACCCTGATCAGATTTTCCCCCGAGGTGTATTCAAAGAGGTTTATTACTGTATATACTGTGCAATTGCACGATGCAGAAATTGAAGGTGACGCCATTCGCGGACCGCTAACCCTCTCTTCGTCGATTTGACAGCATCCACCCATTCGCTGACATCACACAATACTTCTGTTTACATTCACTGTTGCTGTGGGTATTCAAAACGCGAAAATTTTTGAGTTTGGTGCTTGGTACATTTTTGGTGCTTTTGTTTTCAGTTTGAAGACACCAAATTTGAAAAAAAAAATTAATGGATGCAAGATTTATAGCAATCTTAAGTGTGGTAAGCAATTTTACAAAAATTTAAACAAAATCATGTCACGGTGACAGTCATAAGCGACAACAAAATATGTGGCAGCACCTTCAATCATGCCACAAGAATTGGACCGTCGTGCAAGAAACATTGATTTTTATTAATTTGAATTGGCATCCTTACAATAAAATTGTTTATGCATATAAAGTCCATTAAATACAACAATAAAAATTTGGTGGTTTTTCAAATTCAAAACTTGGCAATACTGTCTTTGGTCTTTCTTGTACAGTTCGTCTTGCTCTCTCATTCTGGTATTTGTTGACGTCCCGCCCGGTTGCTCTCAGCTCGATTGGGGCAATCTTCTGTTCTATCACTCTTGGTGCAATTGGTGAAATAATAGCTTTGTTTCTTAACAGATTATAACAGATTAAATATTATCAATAATTTCTGCTGGAAAGCGTTTCTTAAACCAAAAAACTAGCACCTCTCTCTCGTTCTTACGCTCTTATTTTTTTTTTTTTGTTCTCCTGCTAATTTCTGCTAGTAATATTTTTACTAGCAGCTGTCAAAATGGATAAACAAAAATTCGCCCAAATATGTTCAATAGTTAAATACATATAAAACAAAATAGTTAATACATCAGCTGTTTACTTGCTAGTTTCTGCTAGTTTTGCGTTTCTTTGCTATTTGTTATTTAGCTCTCTAGTTCTAGCTCTAGGTTGAATTTTACCTACTGTTGGCGACGACAAGTCACATAGACGTTTATTGTCATACGTTTAACAAATTACAAAATAAAAGATAAAGTCAAATACAAAGTTGAACTTTCAATTGATTAAAAATACTAAAAACGAAATACTGACGAGATACTAAAACTTGTATATTCGCTGCCCGCCATCTTTCTTCTCTTATCCAAAATCGACGAATGAAAAAGATTCACGTTGGCTGCGATTGTTACTGACTGGGGTTGCCATATGATTGCACGATGGCGAATTTAGGGTGCGGTTACACTACCCAGTTATCGACATCCCACCTCCTGGCGGATCTTCGGGGGACCCAAAGCGGCTAGCTTTTTCGCCGGTCGACGTATGACTCCATGCGAGGTTTAGATGTTGGCACTTCGGACTCGGCCATCATTTCCTTTGAAAACCTCAGTAATTCGCCCCTTCTCCCAATGACTTCGTGGTGCTGAGGGGTCACATATTATAACAAGTGTTCCCGGCTTAAGCGCATCTGCGTCGTCTCTCCACTTCGAGCGACATAAAAGTCGAGGCAAATATTCTACCGTCCACCTTTTCCATGCACGGTCCTTCAAATTCTGGGCGATCCTCCACTGCTTTCGGAGGCATAGGCGGTTCTCTTCCGGATGTGGCGTTTGCGTAGAGTTCAAGCAACCCACTAGGAAATGGTTGGGTGTGAGAGGTTCTTCCTCTTCTGGCGTGACTGGCAGATCGGTCAATGGGCGGTTATTTACGATATTTTCTATTTCAATGAGGACACTACGGAACGTCTCCAACCTCGGTGCCTCCTCTTTGAAAACTTTATGCAGGAGTCGCTTAGTGCATTGGATGAGCCGTTCCCAACAACCTCCACTGCTGGGATCTGCGGGGCAGTTAAACACCCATTCGATACGCTGTTTGGACATTTCGCTTCCGATGACGGTGAAATCGAACATTCGGTCTGCTTCTTTCATCTCCTTCTGGGCACCGATGAAATTGGTGCCGTTATCACTCCGAATGCGTGTTGGCACCCCGCGGCGATTCACGAAGTTGCGAAGACAAATGATAAATGCGTCGGTTGACAGGTTTTCTGATAGCTCGAGATGGACTGCTCGCGTAGTAAGGCATGTGAACAATGCGATCCACCTTTTTTCCGTTCTGCGACCGATGGTGACGTGAAATGGGCCGCAGTAGTCTACTCCGCTGTACGTAAAAGGTCGAACGTATGGTGTTAGTCGATCCAGCGGCAACTGACCCATCAACGGTACGGCGGGTTTAGCTCTGTCGTGTATGCAGACAGGGCACTGCTTTTTGACAGTCCTCAAGACGTTACGTATGGCGGGAACCCAAAACCGTTGGCGTACCTCATTCATTGTAAGGTTGTCGTTTTGGTGGTGTCTCTTTTGGTGCTGCGCGGCTACTACTAGTCTCGTGACGTGGCTTTTTATTGGCAAGATGATTGGTCTGCGTGCTGTTATCGGCAGGCAATAAGCCGCGTCTATCCTCCCATAAACCCTTAATAAACCCTTTTCATCTAAGTATGGTGTCAGTTGATAAATACTGGAACTTTTTGGCAACGGTGACTTCTTTCGCAGCAAATCGATTTCATGTTGATACGCTTCTTTTTGCACCATGCGGCATATACACTCCTCGGCGGCGGCTAGTTCGTCGACATGTAGTTCGCCGTCACTACGGTCTTTGTTCCTGGTGTTGTTGACAAATCGCAACCCCCAGGCTATGGCTCTGACTAATTTGAGAAAGGATGAAAATCTGGTAAGTTTGATAATGGCTCACCCGTGTTGCACAGAAGCAGGTGTCGACTAGTGATCTCCTCGTTGGCACAGTCGTCGGACGTCAAAATTGTTTCTCGAGGCCAGCATTCCTCGTCCTGGTGTAAAAATTGTGGTCCACTAAACCAGCGGGAGTGTGACGAGAACTCGGGTTTCAGCATGGCGCGAGTAGCTTCGTCTGCGACGTTTAGGTTCGTAGGCACCCATCGCCACTGATTAGTTGTCGTTGTAGTTAGGATCTCTGCGATCCGATGTGCTACGAACGGTTTGTACGTTCGCGCGTGTGAACGTATCCACAGAATAACCGTCTGCGAGTCGCTCCAAAAAGTAATGCTGTCGATGGGAATGCCGTGACCTTCTTCCACCAGTGTTTTGATACGACATCCGAGGACTGCAGCTTGTAGTTCCAACCTTGGAACCGTCATTGTTTTAAGCGGCGCGCAAGTTGCTTTGGCGCAAACGAGAGTTACCTTCACTGCATGTTCCTTTTTTACTCTCAAGTACGCGGCTGCTGCGTATGCACGTGTGCTGGCATCGACGAAAATGTGTAGTTGGATGCTGTCAGCGGTCGGTATCAAACCCAAGTAACAGCGTGGTATTGAAAACGCTTTTACTGACTGAAAGTTCGACCACCAAGACTCCCACTGTGCTGCTAAATGTATCGGCAGCTCTTCATCCCAGGCGATGCTTTGTTTCCACAAGGCCTGAATAAGTAATTTGGCGGAAATTGTTACGTTGGCAAGTAGTCCGAAGGGAACGTATATGGACATCACGATTCCCAACAGCTCCCTTTTAGTGGGTAGTCGCTTACACTGCAGAATGTCGCTGGATATTTAAAAAAATTTAAAATGGAATTCAAAGGTGTCTGCGGATGTGTTCCAAAACCTCCCACGGATTTTATCGGCGCTGGCTTGTCGTTCCAGGTTGATGACTGTAGATGGCGTGTTGTTGCTATCATTCAAGCTAGCTTCCAGAACTTTGCTATTTGACACAAATTGTCGAAGTTGGAACCCGGCGGCGGAATTAATTGCGATGGCTTCTCGGATCGTTTGGTCGGCGTCTTTGACATTGTTAAAACTTATCACCAGATCATCCACGTACGTTTTGTTTTCTACGGCATCGGCACCTCTTGGCATCTGGGAAGCGAATCTGGCGGCATTTTTGTTTTTAACAAATTCTGCGCAGCATGGGGAACAGGCGGCCCCGAAAATCATCGAGGTCATGGCAAAGGTGCGAATTGGTTGACTGGAGTCGCCCCCTCTCCATAAGAAGCGCTGCGAGTCTTGATCCTCAACTCGGATGCGCACTTGAGAAAACATCTCCTGGATGTCTCCAGCCACTGCGACGATTCCTTGTCGAAATTTAAAAAGAATGCTGATTAAACATTGGGCCTTAACGGGTCCTTTGAGTAGGGCACTGTTGAGCGATATACCAGACGTCTGAGCGGCTGCATCGAACACTATGCGGAGCTTACCCGGCTTGTGTTCGTTAACTACCCCAAAATGGGGCAGGTACCACGTAGTTGGCCCCACTCCCTAGCATAACCCTTGCTGACATACTTGTCGATTTCGCGTATGTAACTTTTGGCAAATTGGCTGTCTCTTTTCATTCTTGATTCGATACCAAGTAAGCGCTTTTGTGCCATGTCGTAGCTGGGGGGAAGCTTGACGTCATCTTCTCGCCACAGCAGGCCTACCTCATAACGACCTCCGATGTGTTTGGTAGTTTGCTCGAGTATCTCTCTCGCGCGTCTGTCCACGTCAGATTCCAGTGCGGCATTGACCGGACATCTGATGGCTAAGCTGTCGACTGCGATATAATTTTCTACAAGCTGGTGTAATTAATTGTGTCACTGCGGTTGACTCTCTGACTAACATCACCCTTGACACGCTAGTGGTGATACCCTGGAGTGGCCCGTAAACCATCCAACCCAATTTTGTTTTGACGGCGATTGGTTGCTCGGGACCGTTGTCGACAACATCGCGAGCAATACCCAGAAACGAGTTGTCTAGCCCAAGCAGTAGGTCTGGCCTTACATCAGTATAGTTCGAAAAAGGCACTGTCTTTAAATGGTTGTACTTACTCTTGTCAAAGGATTGAGTCGGCAAATTGAGATTTCGAATAGTCCGCACGTTTTTGATTGCGAAAGTGTGAGTAGCGTCTGGACCTCGTAACTCGACCGTGACTTTACGGGACTTCTCTGTCGTTTTGTTCCTGCCGTACCATTGCAACGACAGAAGTGATGCTGGCCCTTGCAAACCTAGGCTGGTGGCGATGCTGTCACTTAATAATGACACCGACGAACCTTCGTCGATCATGGCGTAAATTTCTATTTTACCTCGGGGTCCGAACAATGTTACCGGCAAAATTTTGAATAAAGTTGACTGGCTCTCCTGACGGCAATTGAAAACGTGCTGTACTTGGTTGTCGCTGGATGTTGGTCGGCTTGCTTCGGTTTGTGAGTGCAACAGCTGGTGGTGCTTCCGCTGGCAGCCATTGACACCACACACTGTTCTTCGGTGGCAGGTTGACAGGCTGTGTCCGCTCGTGAGACATCCGAAGCATAGTTGGTGGCGCTTTACCAAAGCCCATCTTTCATTGACACTGCTACCGCTGAAACGACGACATTCCGACAAAACATGGTTCTGGCTACATTGGACACATCGGTAGGTTTGACGTTGGTCCCGTTGTACCTCGCTGCTGTGGAGGAATCGACGGCTACCACCTCCTGCTAGCGTTATCTGGCGACTACTTGTTGGTTGGTTAACCTGACGCGAGTGTGGTAATGGCACATTTCTGTCGGCTGATTTTGGCATCAGTGCGACAACTTTGGCCAACTCGCTTAGCCAATCAGCGAAGTTTCCAACTGTCGGAAACGGTGAAATTTGTGCAGCGCGCTTGCTCCACTCGTATTGTTTGGTAGGTGGCAGTTTGGTCACCAGTTGCTCCAACAGGGTAGGGTTTACCAAGTGGTGTTCACATTTTGCGGATTTGAAAAATGCCACAATATTGCGTACTCGCGTTGAAAATTCTAAAATTTGATCAAGGCGGCTCTCAGTGATACTCGGAAAATGTTGCACCCTTTGCAACTGAGAACGTATTAACAAGTCTGAGCGACCAAAGTTAAATTCCAGTTCGCTCAAAACGTTGGGCACGTCGTCTGGGTGAATAAGAAGCGACTTAACGGCTTGCCTTGCTTCACCCTGCAATGCTCTTTGAAGACGCATGAGGTTTTGCCTACCGTTGTAACCAAACTCTGCTGTAGTATCGCGGTAAGACGCGATAAAGAGCGGCCAATCCTCCGGATTTCCTTCAAACGTAGGTAGGGGATGCAGTCTCGTTGCGGCGCTATCCACAAAAACTGGTGCAGGATTTGTCTGTCTTAACGACGTTGGCGGCAATGGTGTCACTGTTGGCGGTAGTGACTGCTGTGTGCATAAAGGGGCGACTATATCCTGTTCTCTTACTGTCTGGTTCGGTAATTGCCATTGAGACTGTTCCACTTGATGTGTTTCAAGACGTTGTCGCAGTTGTTGAATATCCGAACGCTGAATATTTGTGTCGTTTCGGAGCTCAACGATTGACTCACGTAAGGCCGTAATTGAAGCGACCAAAGCGGTTAAATTGTCCACTTGTGCACCTTGACGCTGTGGCGCAGGGCCGGGTGGTGCTTCAACGACCGTCGCATTTAAATCCGCATCGTCTTCTGCACTAGTTCCTTGTTGTTGGCTCATTTGAGATCTTGTTCGCATTAGCGCAGATAATCACGTAGAAAAATATTTTTAGGTTAGTTATACCGGGGCTTAGCAGTGGTATCGACGAGTAACTGAATGCTGAGCCAACGAATAACTGTTGCTGGCGAACAATTTGTGGCGGGTTAAAATGATTATCGCGAATTTTTGGCGGTAAATCCGTTGTACGACTGCTTACAAATTTGTAACAAGCGGGGCGATTTTATGTGGCCCTACATATGCCAAGTAGTGCTTCGCAAATTACCCAAAAGCGAAATGCGGCGCTGCTGCACAACTGCAACTAAATTTTTCTGTCACGAATCCAAAGTTTTAGGCCCGAATCTGTATGGCGGCTTCAACACGTTGTTTGTACAGATTCCGATTGCTGGCACCTGTCGCTTTCGATTGCACGGCAATGGCTAAATCGAAAGGGTGCTGATGATACCTTGTTGCAAATTTTGTAGCTGGCTGCTACTTTGCAAAGGGACGGCGGCAAATTGGCAAATTGTTGCGAATTGCAACAGGCAAACAAGACGATGGCGGCTCAGATTACGATGAAAAACCAGTAACTACGCTGTTCGGCTTTTACAGACGACAGCGACTCCGACTCCTTGCACGGCGATGACTTCCAATTAAGCCTTATGAAATGGCGGCGACCTGATCGCCTGATTCCTTACGAGGCGATGATTTGCAATTGATGGCGGCAGAGAACAAGTTTTAGAGATTTATGTTGGCGACGACAAGTCACATAGACGTTTATTGTCATACGTTTAACAAATTACAAAATAAAAGATAAAGTCAAATACAAAGTTGAACTTTCAATTGATTAAAAATACTAAAAACGAAATACTGACGAGATACTAAAACTTGTATATTCGCTGCCCGCCATCTTTCTTCTCTTATCCAAAATCGACGAATGAAAAAGGTTCACGTTGGCTGCGATTGTTACTGACTGGGGTTGCCATATGATTGCACGATGGCGAATTTAGGGTGCGGTTACACTACCCAGTTATCGACACCTACTATTCAGCTTCTTAAATTTTAACGTACATTCGGTACAAGCAGATTATTTTAGATACATTTGGAACACGATTTTTTCAAACAAATTTAAGTGAAAGGTATGAAATTTTAAGTAAAAGCAATTGCTATTTTTTATGTGTAAGTCCAAATGTTGTTAAGGTACAGAAGGAAGATGTAGTCCACCAACTCTCAAAAATATGTGCACATATAAATACATGTTTACTGTTTAGGTACGTATATCTTCTTTTAGGTACAACTTTTAGGGAAATAGGTACAATATGAAAATTTAATATTCATCACTAGTGCGAAAAAATAATAATGTGACGTCAGCGAAAGGGTGGATGCAGTCAAAGAAGAGAGGATTAGCGATCCGCGGAAGGTGCCACCTTTGTTTCGCGGCATCGTGGTATATACTGTGATTTCTTCTTCTTCGTGGCAGTAGTATAAAATTAATGCTGCCCACCCCAATAAGCATGATCCAAATTGTTACCGTGAGAAGTGATCCGGATACTGAGCTGGATAAATAGGAAGGAAAACACGACGGATTTTCTACTAAAAAAAGCTTATTGC